CTCTATACCCATCTCGCTTACACGGTTGGTACCTTATATAGGTCCCATTCCAAAGTAGACGAGACAATCTGGAATTCCGCAAGTACTCTGTGGAGTATGCAGTGGAATTCAGGTTGTACACGGAGTTGAAGGCAAAAATGTGACAGTGTGTTGCAGTTTCAACAGTATTGTTCCAATGCTCACTTGTCCCTAGTATGGATGGACATCTTATGTCATGCCAAGATATGATAATATAGCCTCGGAAAAGAAAAGGACCGAGAAACTACATCGAACTACATCTGAGTCCAACATATGATTGTTTGGTAGCTCGGACATCAGGCCTGTGATCTACTGTGTGAATAAAAACAAACGAACAAAGCTGCTGGAATTATTCGAGTGTCCGTTGACATTGTAACTATGTGTTTTGTTTCCACCGTTTTCTCGGCAGCAAAAACCGAGCAAAGCGTGGAGATGATGATGAGGAGGAGGAGGAAGACGAGGAAGAGCAGCAAGCGCAGGCATGTGCAGCTAGCAGCGATGTCGACGAGGCCAGCTATGAAGCGGACGATGTTGACGGCGAGTTTGGCGCTGGTGACGATCTCGATGATTTCGATGATGCTCTTGATGAGGAAGAAGATGACGATGCGTTGCTGGATGGTAGCGATGAAGAGGAGGTCTGAGTGTGCACTAAGCAAGCGGTCATGTTCAACATTGTACGGCAAAAGCTCCACTCATCAGAACTCAGTGCGGCAAGAGGAACTGACTAGTAAGTTATGGTGGAAAAGTGTAGTGGCAATATGGGGGTGATTGTACATTGAGAGATTGTCTCACGGGACATGTTTGCATGGTAAAGTTATATACATGTATTCACACCGATCAAGCTATTATTGAGTAAAGGACCATTCTGGAACATTCAGCATAATTGTATTTCTCTAGCTAGGCTTTTCATTACCAATCATTAGCCCTCCACTGTCTGCTATCTCAACCCTACAGCCTCCCATTATAATGGAACTCCCTTCAATTTAGACTACTTGAGTACGTCTTTGGGAAATCCTCAAATATATATAATAAAAAAATAAGCAGTCTACAAGACACTCGCTGTCATCACAGATCACGGTAGTTTTCCCATGTGGTACATAAATATCCAGCCAGTCTTTTTTTTACCGATGGAAACTCCATAACTGCATCGTCATGTTTATCTATTTGCCGCTGCTTGAAGCGTGTCTTATCTTTATTCCTCAAATAATTGTCAAGTACAGCATGCAGTGCCCTAACTTTAAGGTCCAAACTGATCAAACCTATTTCTATTTATCATGGATTTATCTTGGGTTTATTTCTTGTTTCTCTTCTAATGCCAGTCTTGGTGTGATGAAAATCGACCCAACCCATCGGTTGTCTTATTTTGTCTTGAAGTGATTCCCCCACTTTTTGAAGTAATTTCTATTCAATATAATTATAGTATTACTGTATATTCCCGACTTGCCCAGATGGAAGTTTTTGACGGCCACGTCATGGTTTTGAGGTGTTGTAATACCATGCATGAATACTGCGCTTGCAGTAGCGTCTCTGGCAGGTATCTATCATAATAGTAGCAGGCTGTCGGTGTAGTTGTGTACTAGTCAACAATGTAGTTGTAGTTCTTATGTTCTGTGACCTGATCTCCACGTTCTCCAGCTGCCCACAAACTAACTCAGTGTTGTGCCTTGCTTCTACAGTCTACAGTAGCACTGCAGTACGGGTGGGGGAGGGGGCTGCCCAGGTTAGAGGTCCCTGTCCAGTTTTCAGACTTTTTTTGCATGATACAGTCATTAGACAGAGGACAGTATAACTTACTTACACACTATACTACGCGGGCAGTGGGCTTGTCATCCGCGCAATCATCGTTCAGACGAAGTGAGAGTCAGAGTGTTGACTGGGCTGGACCTGGGGTACTGTGTGTGTGTGTGTGTGGGTGGGGGGGGGGGTACTGTGTGTGTGTGTGTGGGGGGGGGGGGGTACTGTGTATGTGTGTGTGTGGGGGGGGGGGTACTGTGTGTGTGTGGGGGGGGGGGGGTACTGTGTGTGTGTGTGTGGGGGGGGGGGGTACTCTGTGTGTGTGTGTGGGGGGGGGGGGTACTGTGTGGGGGGGGGGGTACTGTGTGTGTGTGGGGGGGGGGGGGTACTGTGTGTGTGTGTGGGGGGGGGGGGGGGTACTGTGTGTGTGTGTGGGGGGGGGGGGTACTGTGTGTGTGTGGGGGGGGGGGGTGATAGTACATAATAGACACCCTTAGCAAACAACGGTAACGCTATATTTTACGGTACTCGTACCTTGATCACCCAAATAGCGTTGAAGCTGCAGCGTATAAACGTTATGGGGGCTGATTTATCGTTGTGACCAACGGTACGTGTTTTGGCCAAATACTGCATAGTCCGTACGCATTTCACCTTGTATCGCGTATATGGTGACAACAATGGTTGTACTGCGCGAAATCAAAGCTATTCTCGTGGCAACAGCGTACTAAAAATAGCGTGCATCTTGCTAAAGGTCGAACCCAAATCACGGTATTTTCCCCCTTACGATAATACCGTTACAACATAACGTTTTTTGCTAAGGGTGTCTAATACAGTAAAACGGTGGCCTGAATGATGTAATTGTTCTTTTCTTATTTTCTTTTTATACTCTTTTCTATATTTCTCCAACTTCTGCCCAGTATAAAGACAACCAAGAACGAGCGAAGAATACACGACTGACAGTACAATAACAAAATAAAAAAAAACAAGAAGACTCGAACAACTTCCAAATATCATGAGCGTCAGAACCTGGGCTAACACCCAAACGGTTTAAAACGTTGCAAGACTGGGACTCTGCCAACCGTGGATGGTCGTAGTAAGGGCACTGTTTTCGAACACAGTGTCCTCCGCCTTGTAACATGCTGTCAACTAACAACATGGTTTCAACAAAATATGGTTTATCTGATACTACTTTCTGCAAACCATATTACTACGTAAAGAAGAGGTTGATGCGACTTCGGCGATACTCCCAACGTTAAGTGAAAAGAATTCAAATCAGACTAACTTGTCACCCTTACTGGACATGCACTTTGTATGAACAGTGAATAGATGTTTATGAACAGTGAGAAGGTGCAGGCAGGTCAGATCACAGCAGTACATGTAATATCAGCTGTACAGTCAACTTTGCGAATAACGACATTCGGCGGGGCATCGGAAAAATGTCCTTATTCGCGAAGTGTCCTTATACCCGAAGTCCCATTTGAATGTATGTGAACCCATATTTTTGTATAGTATGACACGCATATCAAAATGAAGCTTTTTTCATGCTCTATGCCAACGTGTACCCCATTTTCATTATTACAATTGAAAGGAACTATAAAGTCGATATGGAAGGGAAATAGTGGTTGATAAATATGGTGGTAAAGACACACCTGGCAATATGGCGGTAAACACACGCCTGCCCACACACGCTCTCTAGGCTGCAAAGTTCTGGCACAGACTGACAGAGCTCTCCTTCTCACCACCACCACCACCATCAGTTCGCGCCTGGCGCCTGGTCGATGCATGGCTGGCGGTATCCGGCATAGCAGGCTGGTACATCAAGTAGCGCATGGCACATAGATGATGACACAGCAACGACATTGCTCGATTACGACGTACGTTTCGTCCCCGCTGGACTCATCAGGCAATCTTCTTCTTGGATGTCTTCATACGGAGCTTGACTCGGGAGAATGAAGTTGAAGACACCACTGCAGCTGTACTTATGGTTGATAAATATGGTACCACATTTATCAACCATAAGTACAGCTGCAGTGGTGTCTTCAACTTCATTCTGGAAGGGAAATAGATTGGAAAAATTAGCCTTTTGCAAGTTTTGGAGCCATCTACACTACAGGGACATGTACAATGTACATGACATGTATGATGATTACTGTACAATGTACATGCAGACCTACATGTACATGTACAGGACATTGGAGCTGTGCTGATCACTCCAACATGTAGTTAGAAGCAAAAAATAAAAGTACCCCTCCCCCCCCCCCCCCCCCCCACCCCTTGGCTGCATCTTCTTGCATGTGTGCCTTTATCCATCGCCATGCATGCCATGGGTTCTGGTACTTCTGCATGACAGGTACTTGAAATAGCTGTCAAAAGCCCAGAAAGTCGTTATTCAAGCAGTGAATATGACCTCGGGGCACTAAAAGCATGTCGTTATTCGCGAATTGGCGTTATTCAGATAGTCGTTGTATCCGAAGTTAAATGTATACAGTTAGATGGGACTTTGCTCTGGGCATGGAAATTCTGTCGTTATTCGCGAATTGTCGTTATATCCGCAGTCGTTATTAGCGAAGTTGACTGTACATGATTGCCACACCACATGCGTCCTGTCACCTTGCCTTCCAATTATTATTATTATTCACACATATCCGCCGGATGAGTACGCGTGGCCCATGCACCATGGGGACCCACGAATACAAACCAGCATATGTTCCCTCAGCAATACAAGCAAGAAAAGATAAATGAGAGCCCAGGCAGCGAAAACAAAACGAAGAGAGATGAGGACATAGGCAACGAAAACAGTTCCAAAGCGTAGCCAGGGATTGAATGTGTGCATCTGGGTACGACAGTTAATACGGCTAGTGCAGCTGTACAGAGCGCAGCAGCAGCAGCACGAAAATACAAAAGTGCCACAGCAGCAGCCAAGAGTGTGCAAACACTAAAAAAGAAGATCAGTCCATGAAAAAAATTATTGTCGCCACAGGTAGACATTTCCGCCAAGAATGCATGCGTGCACACGAGTAGGCAGACGAGTAGGCAGACGAGTAGGCTATTGCCTTCCAATAGAATGACAAAAAAACTCCACTCAATAGTACACTAATGAAAACTGGTGTGAAAATATCCACCCAGCGGATAGAAAAGTATATGCATAAACCGGAGTGTGGGTAGTGTGTGTGTGTGTGGGGGGGGGGGGGGGAGGGATTACCCTATATATGTACGTGTTAGGACTGTAGTGCCCCCCCCCCCCCCCCAGTGATGTATTACATACTAGTTAAAGATCAAATCTGACACTGGGAAACACACATCTAAGAAGTCATGACACTACCTGATCATAAAATAGTCAAGCGGCAATCTGAAGTGTTCACCATTAATTTTTGATGTCCTACACCAGCGTGATTTTATCACCAGGGTCGTAGAGTGCCACAATCCAGTACAGGTTACCCGTGACGTTCGGGATGGTTTCTGTGGCGCCCGTTCTCTCGTGTCTACCAGTTAGAGTGTGACGATCATGATCAACTGTGAGATGAATGATGTCACCAGTTTGCCATGGTTGACCAAGGGCTTTCCCGGTGTGGTAGCCAGCAGCACTAGCGCCATACCAACCAAAACACTGTGCCTTGTCCTGTTGGCAATCTTCCAGTTTTGGATTGCTGGATGAACAGGCAGAGAGGAAGATGTTTCCAGAGGCGGTCTTGTCAATCGTCACCTTCAGTGTACTGCTACCACTACCAGTGACCATAGGTGCGGTAAGTGCATATGACCAAAAACCACCAGTGCCACTGGTCTTGCTCAGTGAGCGACCATCATTGGTGATATTCACCCGGCTGCCACAGCGATTTCCATCAAACGTCTTGGAAGTAACGTTAGTTGCCGACACCACCAGCTTCTGTGGGCTACCCTTCAGATGGACACATCCAATCTTGGCCGAGATGTTGTAGTGACCGGTTTGCAACGCGATACGTTCAGTCTGTATGCGCCCAGAAGCAGGTGTAAGCTGAGTGCACACGTTGGTTGTGTCCTCATCCGGATCGGATATTGATATCTCCAGTCCAATGTTATCCAGTTGATCTTGCTCCATGACGCTTGAGATAGCATTTTCTGGTAGCTCTATAGAGATGCTGATATGGTCATTGACACCGGCTTTGTCGTGGCACTTCAATGTACCATCAGCAACATCCAGCACTGCTCCCGTCTTGCTGATGTCCTTGAGTAGTGATGTGGTGTCCGTCATGCCAAACACAATGCCACAGGTAACACATGGCTCTTTCTCGTCCTCGGCAGTTTTCATGGTCTTGCTGATAGACGCAGCCACCCAGGACCACACACGGAGAAGCTCAACATCGTCCTGAAATGACTGCACGATATTGGCAGCACTCTCTACTTTTGACACACACTCCTGCAGCTGGTGTAGTTGCTTCTCCAGAGGTTCCAGTTTCTTCAACCTCAGCTCATCCAGTTCGGTAAGAAGAGAGTCCTTTCGTTTCTTCACTGCCTCCATCAGTGGCTTGAAGAAACCAGAAACCTTCTCTGAAGCATACTCTGTTTGACTATGTACCATCCGAATGTTCTTCTCCACCGTCTCCACGGCACTGCTGACAACACCATCGCATTCTGATGTACAACTGCTCAGCTTAGTAGAAAGTGTTTCACGAGTGTTTTGTGCAGCACTGGCAATATCCATCACCTTGTGTTCATCATGTCTGTGTGCTCCAGTATGTATGCACTGCGTACACAATAGCTGATTGCAATCCAAGCAAAACTGTTTCAGCACTTCATTCGTGTGTAGAGCACATCTATGCTGGACCACTCTGCCACTGCTGCTACCAATGTTTGTGGAGGATGCAGATAGCGCCTTCACTGTGTGACCTTTGCCAGATTTAGACATGGGATGGCCAGTACCATGGTGCTCACAAAATTTGCCGTTGCAGTTCTCACAACCCACTGTAGCTGGCTTTCCATCCCAGCATTCGTCACAGGTTTGAATGGCCTGACCTCGGCCTGCAGCCGCTCCAGTCGTATCGTTTGCTTGAACTACATTCGGTAGCGATCGCAATGGATCCTGGCCGAAATGCAACTGCGTGCTGACTGAACATAGTGGACACTTTACGCTGCCATCAAATCCCAAGCTGTTCTGCATGCAGGCACGGCACACACAGTGCGTGCAAACACGAAACAAACTTTAGAGTGGTCGTGGACGATCCACAACCATCGCACTGCACTACGGAGGTCATTATTTTACACGCCTGAAGTGAAAGAGGAGAGTCTGAATCTGGGATCCTGGTCCCCATAGGGAGTTCAGTTCCGGTCACAGAAAAGCGAAAAGTGCAGTCACAGCTCGCCTGTACAAAGTGAATGGGCGCCTCGTGACTGCAGTTCGAGATGCAGTTCGAGGCCCGAGTATCTTCTCCTGCGGCCTTTTCGAGTTTTCGGCCTTGTCGTCCGTCGTGTCGATGCTATTTTTTATGTAGCTGAGGTCATCAGGTCATTACCTTTCCATGCTTCCAAAAATAATGTCTCCGCGCTTGGCGCGGATGCACTTCGAAGTACATGACTGTACTCGGCCCCGCGAGGAACACCCGATTTTCGTGTTCAGCGGCCTCGAATTAGCCTAAACCAAGAGGATTCTAGAACATTGAGGCTCGCGCTTTATCGCGGTAGAAGGAAGATAATCACAGAAACCAGTCCTCGTACTCGTAGACGAAAAAAATCGAGTGAACTGCGCGCACACTGTAGAAGCAGTGACGGTGAAAACGTGTGACTTTAACTTGTGCAAGCAGGCGCGCACGGCATGCGTGCACACTGCATCCTGTATCGCCATGTATGCACCAGATACTAGTACAGGTGGAATCCTGATAATTCGAACCCCAAAATGCCAGGAAAAAACTTCTAATTATCCGGACATGCTAATTATCCAAACATGAACCCACAACTCAATATGTATGTCAAAATGCTCTCATGGTCACGCAGAGTTGCGCTATGGACCTTAGACACAAATTTTACGGACACTGAACTGACCGGCACAGCCTGCTCATGCAAACTGAACTGACCAGTACAGTGTACAGTGTATCTTCTCCCGCGGCCTTTTCGAGTTTTCGGCCTTGTCGTCCGTCGTGTCGATGCTATTTTTTAGGTAGCTGAGGTCATTACCTTTCCAATGGTGCCACACATGCCATGCTTCCAAAAATAATGTCTAAGAACTGTATTTCTTTCCTTCTTTTTGCTGGCTTCACGGTAACAGTCAGGGGGGGGGGGGGGGAGGGTCATGGGTTCGAGCCACTGCCAGGCACCAATGTTGCAACGAGCAGGGTTCGGGCACAGCACCCCTGTCTTTCCGACTCTCCGGCACAATGCCCTACCGACTAGGCTTCTTCACACGCACACACACACACACACACACACACACACACACACACACACACACATACACGCGCGCGCACAGCCCCTTCTTGCTACAATACAAGGAGGTGAACTATGATGAAGCACCAACAAAAACTAGAATTCACGAGTCGGCAACACCGCGGGGAATTGAAAGCAGAATAGAGAGAAATACCTATGGATAATATTGGACACAAGCAAACACACACGAGTGTGGGCACATCCCTCTGAGAAACATAAGGTACCAATGCTAAAAGAGAAAAGAAGGATAAACTCATCATAAAGCATAATAGAATAGTCTTGAAAAACATGTGAACTCCACCGCTGTCGCTAAAAAGAAGATAAAATCTATGGTGCAATGAAGTCAAAAATCCATGGAGCCACAAAGAGATAGCGAGAAGAAAGGGCAGTGCGTAGTATAACAGGCTCGGCATGGCTAGCACTGTAAATCGCACGCAGAAACACTCTGAAGCACAGGGTTGCAACTAAAACTATAAAATTGCCAGGAGGTGCTGAACGTCACACGCGCGCGGGCACACACACACGGACGCACACACGCGCGCACACATTACGTATTTGCTCTCAAGATGCTCTTAGAAAGGCGGAATAAAAATCTCACTCAGCACTCAAGGAGGCTCGAAACGGCTGCAACGTTCGCCAACCGGCATCACACTTCACAGTCTAAAAAATTAGCTCAACTCAACGGACCCAAATTGCTGTATATCCATGGAGGGCTAAAGGACTAATGTTAGAAATCAAGTTGGTGCCAGGCACACCCTCACACACGCTCACACGCATGCAGGGACGTGCGCCGAAGAAAAGCACAAGGGGCAAGCACGAGTTACACGGGCTAGCGGACCTTACGGGAACGCCTTCTATCAGGACGATCCCTGACCACTAGCCTCGTCACCAATAGGCCAGACAAAACGACACAGTACGCCCGAGCATATAGCTGAATCGCTGGCGTCAGTCACCTGGTAGTTCTTGTCCAGTAAACCAGCGGAAGGCAACAATTTCCGGGTGGTACTTCGTGGTACGGTCATTCCCAATCGCTCGCAGGATTTCTTCAGAGCAGAGCTCTCTCAGCGTCGGCACCGGAACACCGCTCACTAGAGAACTGACCGAGGTGGGCAGCTGAACGCGTGACAGCAGGCGGCGACAGCTTGCGTTGGCCACGCACACCGGCCCGTCGTGCATGTCGCCGCACACGTACGGCACCGCCTCCAGGCTGCTCAGTCGCATAGCGGGCCCGCAGAACCGGAACAACAGGCGCAGCGTCGCATCGCCGCTCGCGCACGATGCCGTACGGCAAATGTTGACCAGCCGGGCTACCAGCGGTGGCAGGCACTTGGTAGCGACCATGGTCTTGCGCGTTGCGTGAAAATGCGGACAGTGCGACGTCCACTGCTGGCCGCTCATCAGGACTTCAGAATCGGCTAGGTGATACGTGGAGTAGTTGCAGAGGTTCAGCTCCATGAACGGACACACATCGAGAGGTTTCCCATAGCCGGGCATCTCCTGGCAGCCGGCGATCGACACGGGCTTCCCGCGACGGACGTTCATGTAGCGGGAGTTATGGTCGGCGATGTCGTTCCACGCCGCACACAGGTCCACCGCCCGCTGCTGTGACCAGCCGGCTGGGTCGGCGCCGTGATCGACTAAGTCGCGCACAAGCTGCGGCAGGCGGCCGCTCAGGCTGCAGATGCTGGAGCCGTTGCGAGCCAGTGGCCGGGTGGACACCTGCAGCGTGACAGAGTGCAGCAGCTGCTGGCAGAAGACGGCTTTGCAGATCATCTCCTGCGCCGACAGGCACGGTATACCGAGCAGCAGCCTGCCGATATCGTCGCAGTGCAGCACATCCAGGCACAGCAAGCTGTGGCGGCAGCAGTCACGGTCCCAGCGCACCACCCGCCTCAAGAACTCGACGCTGCGCGTCAGTCGGCCTTTCTGCGCAAGCCACAGCGCGGCGACGGGCGCGGGACTCGTGCCGTTGTTGGAGAGCGCTTGGCAAGTGTCGACGTCGTACAGCGCTACCAGCCAGGGCGAAACGACGGGCCCGAAGACGTGTCCAGCGAACAGGGCGTTCTCGTGCTGCGATGCGCCACCCGCAATCAGACACTGTACTATGTGCGGCAGCTGGAGAATGGCCGCCAGCCACAGCGGCGTCATGTGCTGCACATCCGGGATGTGCTTCTCGCCGCGGCACTGGAGCGTGCACTCGGGCGACGCTTTCACCTGCCAGCTCAGCAGCAGCTGCACGATGTCCAGACGGCGCACCATCACGGCGCAGTGCAGTAATGACGGGCTGCCGAACGCGGATAGCTGCTCCTCCAGCAGGCCCTTGAGCGTGGGTGTGAAGAACCCGTCCTGCTCCTGACTCAGCCGCGGGTTGTCACGTCGCCACGTCTTGCCCCGCGTCAGCGACTGCAGCGGGCGCAGTGCGTTGTGAAAAACCAGGACTTGCTGCTGCTGCTGCTGGTGCTGTTGTTGTACCGGTACTGATTCAGCTGTTGCTTTGGTTTCCAGGGTTACTGCACCTAGTGCGTCCGCCTTGCCGAACGTTGGCCACAGCTCTCTCGGGCATTCGGCAAGATCGGGGAATTCGTGAGCGGTGTCGGCGACATCACTATCCCCGACAGCACACCGATGGTAGATGCTGTACGCCCGCGCCACCTCCTTCAGCAGCCGTATCTCACCGCAGCACACCAGCAGCTTCATCCACTCCCACACGTCCCGTACGGTGGTGATATGGTGGTGTGGGTGCAGTAGCCCCGGTCGGCCCCGCGCCCGCACAGGCACGGCCCATGGTCCAGCCCTGTTCTGCTCTGCGGAAATAACGCGTTTCACGTGGAAATCGACCCTCTCGGCCTCTAGCTGTCCGGAACCTGACGGCATGTATGGTAATCAACGTTCAGCGTCAAACGTTTCCCAGCATGATCTGACGGGAGCTCCACTGCGAGAAGCGAAAACAAGGTGAGCTTGACTTCTTGGCTGGTGTGATTCAGATTCAAATCTCCACATGCGTCGTGACAGAAGATTCGTCAGTTCAAACTGTACACGTCAAAGTCAAGATCTCCTAGGATTCAGTCAACCGGAATGGATCTGACGGCACTTTGTCAACTGATGGTTACCACTACTTAGTCTGAAACAACTGTGGCTACTCAAAAACATTCCATTTCTTTCCCCAATCACAATACACAAACACTCACTCACTCATTACCTTGTGTAACGTCTTATGAGGAAGTTATGTTACCATTTCACCATGCACCATCACCTGATCACTCAGTATACGAGTAGATCTACACTGTAGTTCTAGTTGGTTTATTTCAACCTCAAATTTGCAACACTTGACGTGACTCTTGAATTGAGTCTTGACACCTCGAACATCAAAAATGCCACTCGTACATGATCTGATGATCGTGGCATTTAATTTTTGATGTACGAGGAGGTCGAGGTGTCAAGACTCGAGTCAAGACTCAAACCAAGATTTTTTTGGCTGTGTACCGTACTTGTTTGTTGTGTACCGTATACCAATACCATGCCGATGGCCGTACCGTCGCCGCGTAGCGCGTGATCAATGCTGTCGGGAGTCATGATTTGACGACTCCCAGTCCCAGATGTGCTTGATGATGCAAGAACGTGTCAGACTTCAAAAAATAACTGAGAGACCGAATTTCGAACGGAATAGATCACAAAAAATTGTGCTCAAGCTGAGGAAGAACACAGAGCCGAGGGGAAAAAGAGCTGTTGCTGGTGTTTGACTCCTACCCTCCTGCACTACGTGTACCTTGTGTACACTTGCACAGTACTTTCCCATGTCCCTTGCATGAATCAACATAGTGTTGTAGTTATCGGCCTTGTCTGGGGAAAGATTTTTTTTGGAGCAGTAGTATTCAACACATCAACATTTGTGAAGCTAACGGTGAAGGAGAATGCTTCCTGCAACAGGTTTAGCCCGCAGTGGCAGTGGCCTGGGATTAGCAGCAGGCATGCTGTGTAGGCGTTGCATCGCCTCTTCCAATCGGCGGGCGTTCCTGGACGACCAGCTTCTGTCGAAGTCTGAAGAAACTGGCCACAGTAGGTCGGATGGCCAGGACTTCGTGCCAGCCAGCCTGATGGCTGCGCTGTACACGGCCACGTCACAGAGCGAGGTGCTGAACCTTCTGGACTCGTCTAAGAACTACGGCAAGCGGCATCTTCTGGCGGCGGCGGCACGCTTGGGTGATCTGCGTCCGCATTGTCTCACCGACAGTATATACACGCCGGATGACGGCCTGTATCGGCTGGAAGCAAAGCTGTGCTCACGCGTGGAGTCGTTTGGCCCGCACGAGGTGTGCTCGCTGTTGACCGCGTGCAGTCACATGGCACTGGCCTTGCCCAACGATAACCTGTTGGGAGCGCTGTGTGTGCAACTGCGCAGTCAGGTGAAATGGCTGGGTGCAGACCGCCTGGCCAGCGGTTTGCATGCACTCGCCATCCTACGTTCTCGCACCATGCCGTTGCTGGATAAGTACGAGGTGCTGCCGGTGTTGGAGGCAGCGCTCATAGAGCACATTGGGGAACTGCACGGGCTTGCACTCTCCAAGGCCGTCTGGTCATTTCACCGCTTGCTGTACAGGTATAGACCTACGGTTTGTGCGTGTGTGCCTGTGTTTGTATGTGCGCACGTGTGTGTGTGTGTGTGTGTGTGTGTGTGTGTGTGTGTGTGTGCGTGCGTGCGTATGTTTTACGTGTGTATGCATGCGCATACTTGAGTTGAGTGCATGTGTGTGTGTGTGTGCGTGCGTGCGTGTGTCCCATATGGTGCAGTGGTATGTGCAGCGATTTCCAATCGATAGGTTGCGGGTTCGATTCCCGACGATTATGGTCACACACGTCTTTCTTCTCTTTCTCAGACTCTTCCTGACTTTTCTTTCATTCTCCTGGGTGGTTACCAACAGCCAGTGTATGCCGGAGTATGTGGTGTGGTGTGTGTGTGTATAAAAAGAAAAAAAAAAAGAAAAAATGGAAAAATGAAAAATAGGGATTCACTGGCCAGAAAAAGTCACTTCAAACAGCTGTGTGGTGGATACCAGGCTAAAAATAGTGGCGGTCAATTCATCAGCCTTGCAAGCTGTTGAATGGTGTAATCCCAGCACAAGTTGCTATGTCTAACATAGCTGTTCGCTATCATCGCTCCCGCGATGGGCATGTCTGAGGTCTGAGGTGTGTGCACGGGTATGTTTTACGTGCGTATGCATGCACACTTGAGAGAGAGAGTGTGTGTGTGTGTATATGTGTGTATGCATTTGTCACAGAATCTTGCTGACCTGGTATCTGCATGACTATTGATGCAGCTGTATGCAGGTACTAGTAGATGCAGCATGTATAAGGCAACTTGCATGTGCTTACTTGAAGTACATGTGTAGGTGCTACATGCGTACCGTACGTGGATTACTGCAGCTGGGCCGTCGCAATTTTTTCCGCATAGCGGCAACGAGATGCATGCATTGGCGTTCACCCCATGCTGCACCTGATTTCTAGATATGCGTATGCCGGTCACCCCGTGTTCTGCTGTGTTATATGAAATACTGGATCAAGGACATATGCGCGAAACATGAGCCACCCACGGCTCCCCACGTCGTTGCTCTGTGCGTGTACTAGTAGTAGTTACATCAATGACGGCATGGACGTGAAGAAATGTACACTATAGACACGCTCTGGCTTTCTTTCTTAACGTCCTCGTTATCCCCATGCGTTTCTTTTCGTTGCTGCTCAGGTCGGATGCGCTGTGGACCGGCCTGGCGCAGCAAACCGTGCGCCTGGGCGATACGATGCAAAGCTCGTGGCTGGCGATCATTGCACGCTGCTTTGCTGAGCACTACGGCCCGCTGTGTGCCACGACGGAGCTGAAGGCGTCCGTGGAGGCCATGCTGCACCACTCGTCCAACCTCCTGCTGAAGCGCCACCGCACGCAGAGCCAGTTCTCCAGCCTGTCAGGTCTGCTCTGGGCGGCGTCAGTGCTGCGCTGGCCGGCGCCGCATCTTGCGCAGGTGGTCGCCAACGATCTGCAACGCGTCTCCTCCACCGTGGGCCAGGCATCGCAAGCGCAACAGGTCACCGAGGAGCGCCACCACACACGGGAGGCTTTCGCCGCTTCGCCGATCCCGCAGCCGCGGGCAGCACGCCAAGCAGCGTCTGAACCCAAGGCATCGTCCGCTGCCGATGCCATTGGCTTGAAGCAGCAAAGCAACCTGCTCTCCTGGGCACTGGACAAGACCTCAGTCACGCTCGGCGGTATTCTGAAGACACGCCGCGGCTCTGCAGACCGTGCCAAGCTCGCTGGCCTTCACCAGTTCATGGAGCTGCAGACAATGGGCCTACCCTCCTCCTTGCCTGCAAAGTCACAAGCACAGACACCGGACTTTAAACCATGGTCGGCCATGGCCGTCGCTACGGAGGGTCAACCGCTGGAAGTCGATATCGGCACGCTGCGTACTCGAAAGCAGGACCGTCAGGAAGAGGCCACCGCTGCTGGTGCTGATGATGGAACAGCTGGCAGCCACTACGCCGCGCAAGAATCAGCAGCTCACGCTGCACTGCAGGCCTCTTCCAAGACCTGGACGGGGATGGACATCCTCGGCCAGGGAGAAACCTCGCGACTGCTCGGCAATCTTGCTCCACTCTCATCGTCGCAGCTGAAGCCCTCGTCGCAAGCGTCCGGTGATCGGCGAGCTTCGGCCATTGCTTCCAGCCACACACTCGTGCAGCATCTGCAGCGGGCCCTGGAAGAGCAGCGCAAGGCTAAAGCGGCCAAGGAAATCGGCAAGGCCGTCCAGTCAAACGATCATCGCAAGCAGATGGAGTTGCTGTGGCCGGCGTCGCAGAGTCCGTTTGGCTGGCGACTCGACTGGTTCAACAGCCAGCAGTCCGCCGACAGTGCTTCTGTTGCCGGCGGCGCCTGTGTGGAAGACAGTGAGCTGCCCGTGATGAAGACCAGAGGTGGACTGAAGCAGCTGCCTGGCAATCTCCTGGCCGACTTATCTCAGGTTAGTCATACGATGGGGTTCTGTGATGGCTTGTATGGATGTGGTTCAGGTGCCAACCTCCCACTGACACACACGTGAGCGCACCTTAGTGTCATACAATGTTTGTATGTTTGAATACAGAGACCACAGTTTGCCAGTTTTTGTGCTAAGGTTGTACAGCAGCATGCTTGCACATGTACATGCAGCGTTATGTCCTGTGCACACCAAGGTCGGCACTTGGTTGCACTTGATGTGCACGAAATCCCTTGTTCTGAAAGCACGCTACATTTTGAGAATCGCTGCAAGTAGAAACATTCAAAACGAATGACAAAGCAGCTACTACACGGCGCTACTAGCAGGCATAGATGTGCAATTGTGTGTGTGTGTGTGTGTGTGTGTGTGTGTATGTGTGTGTGTGTGTGTTTGTGTGTGTGTGTGTGTGTGTGTGTGTGTGTGTCCCATATGGTGCAGTGGTATGTGCAGCGATTTCCAATCGATAGGTTGCGGGTTCGATTCCCGACGATTATGGTCACACACGTCTTTCTTCTCTTTCTCAGACTCTTCCTGACTTTTCTTTCATTCTCCTGGGTGGTTACCAACAGCCAGTGCATGCCGGAGTATGTGGTGTGATGTGTGTGTGGGAAAAAAAGAAAAAAAAGAAAAGAAAAAAAAAAAAAAAGACCAAAAATAGGGATTCACTGGCCAGAAAAAGTCACTTCAAATAGCTGTATGGTGTAGACCAGGCTGAATAGTGACGGTCAATTCTTCAGCCTTGCAAGCTGTTGAATGGTGCAATCCCAGCACAAGTTGCTATGGCTTCTGCCGTAGCATTGCTATCATCGCCTCCGGCGATGGGCGTCAAAGGTCAAAGGTCAAAGGTGTGCACGTGCGCACATGTGTGTGTGTGTGCACGTGCGCACATGTGTGTGTGTGTTTTTATGTGCACGTGTGTGTGTGTGCATTTGTATGTGTGTGTGTGTGTGTGTGTGTGTGTGTGTGTGTGTGTGTGTGTGTGTGTGTGTGTGTGTGTTCTACATGCTGTCCAGGTGGCTGCACTGTGGAAGAGCAATATGTTCAGTGACCGGTCAACACTGCCGGTTGCCGTTGCCGACGAACTGGACACAGCACTGCGCCGCAGCCGCCCTACCACACAAGACTCACCCATACTGGTGAGTGAGAACTATGCTTTCTGTGTACACAGAGGCAGTGCAGTGCCTTAAGTAGGGATTTCAGTCACGTGATCTGCGGGGGCAAAAGTACCTTGACACGCATGCATGCTTTTTGAATGCCAGGCATGGCACAGCTCAGCGCGGGGTCTTCGGCGTAGATTTTAGGTAGGGAAAGTGAGTTTATCGCTATTTTTATTGGCGCACCGTTGAAGAGTAGGTTTCAAGCTTTCGTTTGGTGCCTCACACGGCGAATTCGTGCCGATATTACGCATCTCGATAGATTCTTGTAGATTTCAAAGTCGCTTTTGAGGTGTTTGCCTTGGTTCCACGCTCAAGCGGCAGTCAGAATCAGATTTTACGGCATCGATTTAGTCTAGGTAGGTTCCTTCAGACGGCATGAAGGGTCGCGCTCGGTCGCGGAAATTGTTTTGAAGTTGAACGCCATGACACAGTATGGAGGTGGAGAAGAAAGACGATTAACTTCCGTCTTCCTCTGTGTTCATGGTGTTGTCCCAGGCAGTTGAGGAATGGCCTAGTAGTAGTTGAACTCTCGTTGAGAGCGAGAAGCAAAAATGATACCAAGTAGAGTTAGCATAATTTGATTTTGCTAGTTGCAGTCGTGGATGGAAAGGATTTCGAGACGATGTGAAAATTGCCAGGAACAAAATCGGGCGTATCAGAGAGTGGAGAAAAAATTTGCTGAAGAACAAGGCAAGTGACGACCTCAGTGAATTACTAAGTCATCCTTTTGAACTGCCTCTCAATCAAATTGTAAAGCAGATAACCACACACTGAACGAAAAATCGTATATTGTGTCTGATTCTTGTCCAAGAAAGAAACATTGAACTGCAAGGAAAATTGTAGGCTGCAGGGATTGCAAATTGCATGAATTGTATAAGTTTGGAAAATTATATCAGTGTTATCAAATTTCCACACCTGAGCAGTCGTACGTGCTGAGGTGTGGACATTTGCAACAGTTCATGTCCATGCTGGACCAGCCGTTGATGTCAGTGCTGAAGCAACAGTTGATGTTGATGCCGGCGCAGCAAATGATGGCGCTTTGGAGCCCGCACCCGGCATAGCAGGTCTTGACCCTGTGTGTGGCACCAGACTTGATCTTCCATGTGTCATACAGGTGCGTGGTTGTTCCAGGCTGGTTTTTTACTGAACTTATCTCTTATAAATACTCACCGCTGGCTGGCTTCTGTGTACAATACTCAATAGCCTCTAGTATGGTCGTTGTGCGGCTAATGTGCGTCTCTGACTCGTTGCAGCCGAAAACGGGCACTGTGTGACATCAGAGCTTGCTGTCTGCTCCTCTAGTTTCCCACATGCATACTATATAACTTAAATGTTGTGTTTGCCGTATTTCTGTCATATTCCACCTATTACCATGTTGAATTATGCGTGAAATATACTGTTGCTAGGGCCGTTGCTAAGGACGCCATTGTTGCGGTCATTTGGAATTTTGAAAAAAAACTTTTATCTTCCGTTCCGTCACAGCCAGGGCCATCCTTGATCCAAGTTTGGCCACGATCGGATGAAGTTTATTTGTTGCTATGGTGTTGCTAGGGAGTATGGGAATTCCATTTTGTGCCATCCTGCAGATCCAATTTGTATGTGTGTTCATCAAGGTTGGTGCGCTATGTTTGAATGCTCATAACTTTGGAAATACTGCTTGGATTCCGTTCAAATTTTCTGTGGACAGTCCTTACACATAGCTGCTTCAGAAAAACTTGTTAGTTGGAGCAAAGCGCTGCTCAGAAAAAACCGCCTGAAATCCCTACCTTAAGGCCGATTCATACTTCATTTTGCATACGGGAAAGTCATCGCGCGATGGGACAAAATAGTTGAGCTCAAGTCAACTTGTTCGCGATGCGACGCGTTTCCCGTACGCGAAATGAAGTATGAATCAGGCTCAAACAGCTATAGTACTCAAGTGCCCGTGATGGGCAGAGCATAGTACACAAGGGGTGCACAGTGGAAAGTAGGGTTGTCATGGCAACAGCCAATCATCAGACAACCTTGCTGTGTGCGTATGCAACTGCGGAGCACTGAACCTGTGTCAGGTGCCTGATGGGCTTCGGATGTAACTTAGACTTGGGTGGCTGGCACCGCCGTGCAAGTACAGTATTTGCTTACTGGCCAGCACCTGGCTGCAAGTACAATACAGTCAACGTTGTGGATAGCAACCCTGGGTATCACAACAACCCGCGAATAAAGACACAATCTTCGGACCTAGTGACCATTTGCCTGCATACTTAAAACCTCACGAATATCGATAACTAGCGAATGACCACACTTTTCTCATGCACGATGCAGGGTCGTTAACAACAAGGTTCTGTATGTATGTATTGGAGATCACACTAGTCGGAACAACAGATGGCTTGATCAGTCACAACTTAAAGTTTCATGCCATCTCAGGCACTCATCAGGTGATCTGTTGTTCTGACTAGTGTGTCACGGCTCTACCTTCCCGGTATCGAGCTCTCTTGGATTTCTGCTGGAATTCACAACAGTATAGGAGATCAAGTACAGCGTGTGTACTAGAAAGTAGAAACGCTTGGAGGTGTAGCCTTCAGGCGGGTGCCTGGTCTCGCTACCCAGATTGCCGTGAAAAGTACATGTTGAAGAGTACTCATAGTGGTGTTAGTCGTTGAGGTTGCTAGTTGACTCTCCTTGTCACATACCTCGGCTAGTTAGAGCGACCTGAGTCCTGCAGTGTTTAGTAAGTTTTGCTGAGAAACCGGCACTCGGATTGTGTCGATCTTGCAGTTTGCAACTTGCACGTGAGTTATTGTGGCTTTGGCTCTTTTGGGTACAGGTGCTAAGTTCTACGGTTCTACCAAACCGTGTTACCTTCGCATTGATTGCTTCTTTGTATTACACTGGTTTAGCAGTAGTACTGAAGCATGCCTGTGTCAAAAATAGTGCTGGAAGAAGCGATGTGTTAGTACTTGTAGTACTAACCGCGACTAAGTACTTCGTAGTGTCGCATGCAGAATAGCTCTGCTCTTTCATATAAGCCTGGATGTAGGTGTCAGTATAGCTATTAAATTGTGTTGGTTTGCTTCGCCTACTGCTCTCTGTGGTGTCAGTCTCGTATGGTGTGGCGGTTGCTATCCTTGTACGGTATTCAGAGTAGTCTTGGACAATCAATTTGCCATTCCCCACCATCCTTACCATGTTGTATTGCAGTTCGGTTTGGTTGTGGACCTTCTAGTATTGCTGTACTGGCACCCGGCCTTCTATAGTCATTGCTCTCGTTGTAGTCTTGCAAGGAAGCTAGCTATTTCTCTTTCTCTCTCTCTCTTTGTCTCTCTTTGTCTCTCTCTCTCTCTCTCTCTCTCTCTCTCTCTCTCTCTCTCTCTCTCTCTCTCTCTCTCTCTCTCTCTCTCTCTCTCTCTGTCTCTCTCTCTCTCTCTCTGTCTCTCTCTCTCTCCTGTTACTGCTGCTATTTCCTCTCAGGAATCGGTAAGCAGTCGCCTGAAAGCGCTCGGCCTGTCATGCCGTCATGGTGTTTCGCTGGACTGCTACGAGTTTGACATTGTCGCTGATATACCAGCCGCGTGGCTGAAGGATCCAGGTAAGCTAGATAACTTACTTATAATTATAAATTATATGGCTGTTGTGGGCACTGTTGGTGTTCCTGAGATATCGTACATGTGTCTATTTCTCTAGTTCAGAATGTTAGGCAGTTGGTTGGAGTTTTCCCCTCAGCTGTCCTTATTGAGTGCAACCGAAGTGGAATGGATGCCGCGATGTCTTGTCCTGGCCCGATCCACTCATGATGAAATTCTAAAATTTGTCCTCTCTCTCTCTCACTTACACACTCACACACTCATATACTCAATATCTCCGAACACAAATCTCCTCCACTAGATTTCCTATTGCCTATTGGCTACAGTAGAAATAGAGCAGCGTTTTGGACACAGCTTGGCCAAAAATGATATGGAAACCCAGTCTTTTTGCCAAATCAAATATTCCAGCATACCTCATCTTGTAGTCATGTAGGGGATTGACCTGCTGATGTTCACCGTTTAACGAAAAAAGAAAAGATCATGTGCGTTTGAATCTGCTGACATGTGCTTCCCAAAATTGTTGTGTTGTCTGAGCGTACATGTTCGTGTGTGTGTGTGTGTGTGTGTGTGTGTGTGTGTGTGTGTGTGTGTGTGTGTGTGTGTGTATTGCAGAGCTGACGGTGTCGATGGCAGTGGCAGTGGTGCTGACCGACCTGGCCTCGCAGCCGCAGCGCCACTCACCCGGCTACATGGTGCTGCTACGGCGCTTCCTGCACAGCCGCACGGCCAAGGACTGGCGACTGCTGGTCATTGATGCCAACGAGTGGAACAAGATGGGTGGCGAGCAACAGCAAGCCACTATACTCCGCAAGCGACTCAATCAGATCTTGAGGTAGAAAGGAAGTTTCTGGTGAGCAACGGCAAGCCACTATACTCCGCAAGAAGTGTCTGGCGAGTACCAATAAACCAGCAGCATACTCTGCAAGCGATTCATTTGATCGTGAGATCTTGAGTAGAAAGGAAACTTCTGGCGAGAACAGCATGCCTCTCGCAAGCAGCTCAATTAAATTTGAGGTAGAAATGAAGCTTGTGAATTGTGATGTTCCTTTTTATTTTTGATTCTGGTGCAAAAAGCTTTTAATTTTTTAGCTTGCTGGTATTTTAAAAGTACTGTCTCTCCCTCCCTCATTTTTGTTCACGAATTATTTCGTTAGATCTCCACCAGCAGATATAATTATATCGGTCTGTTGTCACCCTGAACGTTTTGGGGTAGTTGTGGTTGTGTCGTCTTCATGGTTACAAGCAATTTTTGTGTCAGCTTTGCGAGTTTATTTGAATGCAGAGAACCAATTGTCTCAATAGTTTTCAGTTTTGAATTATTGAAATTTGCAAACGAATAATTTAACTTTGTGTAGCCGAAAATATTACTAGTACCTGAATTTTTTGGTATGCTCACTTGCTGACTGGTTCGTTCCAACAGAACTCGCTAGTAAGGGGTTCAGGAATGCTGTTAGTTCCGTATCTCATTTTTATCTACTGCCTCCACTGACGATCTTTGTTGGAGCGAAACAGCTGTCTGGAAGGTCTGACGATACATTGATCAACGGAATTATTCTCGTTAGAGTGCGGTGTCACAAGTTAGTGGGTTGGCCGAGAATTTCGGGGTGGTGAAAGTTACTCTCATTTCACTAAAATAATAAAAATTGCATCACACATCAAAATGTAAATTTTCAGTATGGCGGTGTTGGATTGGGTAGGCATGTAGTGAAGTTGTGGGTTCACTCATTCAAGGGGGGGGGGGGGCTCGAGCTTCCAAAATCGCTCATTGTTCTTCAATTACATGTACATGTATTAGCGTTTTGTGGAATGCTACAGCTGCTGTAATGCACACAGGCCGGTGTATTGAGCCTGAGGACTGGTGGATTGTCGCGAAGCGAGATAGTTTAATTTTGCTATTTTACATGTTTTAGTTCATGTTTCGGCACTGCAGCAATCTGTAGCTTTGTCTTAGTCTATACGGTAAATATTGCACTGTGAACTCTGTACGGCAAGTTCTGCCACATGCACAGTTGGTAGCCTCAGACCCTCTAGGTTTACACAGCCATGCCAGAGCTCGCTTTTTTCCCAACTGCTGCATACTGCTCTCCCAAAATAATGAAGTGCGCGTGCTCCGTACGATGTTGCACTGCCACGTTCACTTATCGTATAAATTCTCTTTCAGTCCGAGCAAATAAATCAGTTATCAACTCATCTCCTAACTGTGCACTTGCGGGTTTGTGCCGGTTAGTGACAATGGTGCCGAAACCTGCTTCCTAGTTCCTCGCCACTGCCCCCAACCGAGCCTTGCTCCTGGTTGACTCGCCCCTTGGGGCTTGAGTTGTGAAAATGGGCGACACAAGATTGCCGACGGCTATCCAGACGAGCAAGCGTGCTCTCAAGCTCCTGTATGAAGAGCTGCAGGAGGAGACGACAGTCGGCGAAGATCTGCTAGCAGGAACCAAACCCGTCAACCAGATAAGTCCGTTTCTTTGTGGTTTAAAGGAATTGTTGGAAAGAACGGAAGCTAACTTGGATAATTTTGTTGAGAATGTGGAGGCATATGAGCCAAAGGGTAAAGAAAACAAAGAAATTAAGAATGGTTTGGAGGATGAGGCTGGGTTATGGACAGAGACACTAGAGAAGGGTTTCAAACTCCAGAGAAAATTGAGAAAAATGGAATTGGAGTCAGGCTTCCAGCCTACAATGCAGACAGACTCTACCTTGCTTGAGATTACGAAATTGATTGGGACGCAAGCTAACACCCAAGAGTCAACCCAAAATCTTCTAAAGAGATTGGTAGAGCGGGATACTAGACCCATAGTAGAGCAGGATACTAGAACCGAATCGAAGCCCCAGACAACTGCCAGATTACCCAAATTGGAGCTAAAGCATTTTGATGGGGACATAATGGAGTTCCAAGAGTTTTGGAACATTTTCGATGCTACTATTCATGACAACTCCTCCTTGTCACCAGTTGAAAAATTGAGCTATCTCCGTGAATGTGTGGGAGGGAAAGCACAAGACGTGCTGAAAGGTTTAAGAATCTGTAATGCAAATTATGAAGTTGCCCGGGATCTGCTTGAGAAGAGGTACGGGAGTAAGCAAGCTATGGTGGATGCCCACTACACTGCTTTAATGGAGATGTCGGCCTGCACCTCAAAAATCGAAAGTTTGAGGTCCTGTGTTGACAAAATTGAAGTGCACCTCAGGAGCCTTGAAGCACAGGATGAGGATGTATCGCAAAAGGTGTTCATTACAATAATCTTGAGCAAGCTCCCCAGTGATGTGAAATTACAACTTGAGCTCACCAAACAGCATGATGAATGGACAATTAGTGAGTTGCGTTTGGCACTATCGCACTTACTAAAGGCAAAAGAGAATGCAGAAGGACCAGCCGCATGCAAAGGTCAACAATCATGGCAACATGCCAATCACTCAAAGAAGATACTATCAACAGGGCAGTCTCTACTTGCGGGTGCTGGTGTAGCTCGTACTATCAAATGTATGTATTGTGATGGAAAGCATTACTCTGATGAATGTCAAATGTACAAATCGCTAGATGAACGGAAAACACGGTTGGGTATGAAATGCTACATCTGTCTGAAAGCGGGACATGGAGCAAGAGCTTGCATGAATGCTAGAACATGCTACCATTGCAAACGCAAATCCCACCACAGAAGTCTGTGTCCACAGAAGTTCAAGTCAAATGAAGAGCGAACAAATGATGGGAAGCATCATGGTGATGGACAAAAACAGGCACACACTTTGAATGCAATGGCAGAGACATTTGAACCAACACAAGATGAGGCAATGGTTTCTCACACACAAGGGCACAGGGTTCTAATGCAAACTGCTTTGACTACTGCAACAAATGAGGAAGGCAACAGGTCACAGACTGTAAGGATCTTGTTTGACACGGGTTCATCGAGAACATACGTCAGTGAGAATGTCAGCAAAGCATTGGGACTCAAACAAGAGGGAAGTGACAGAATTTCACTTGCAACCTTTGGTGCAACACACAGATCGGTAAAGGAATACCCTGTAGTCAATTTGCACATCAAGCAGAAGAATGGTGAATTAGCTTCCATACAGGCAAATGTTATCAACAACATTTCGTGTCCACTACAGAAAGTACCTTTGAGCACAGCAAAGCACTCTAGCTTACAGAAGCTTATCTTAGCAGAGCCTCTATGCAATACACCTGAAGCAATGCCTATTGATATCTTAATTGGAGCAGACCAATACTTTCAATTTGTTGGCAGCGAAAGATTGGAATACCCAGATGGTCTCATTTTGATTGATTCCACTCTTGGGTTTTTGGTGGCAGGCAAGGTGAAATCGAACGGAAATGGTGATCACACACTAATGTGCCACGAGGCGCTCTCGTTAGTTGCGGCAGAAGCATGTGCACCGAAAGAATTCGACTTGGAACGTTTTTGGAATCTTGAAAATGTTAGCATCAGTGAGAAAGAAATGGAAACGGAAGACGACACTGCGCTAGAATCATTCAAGAACAGTGTGCGCTTTGTAAATGGGCGGTATTTTGTCTCCTGGCCTTGGAAACATGAAGATCACAACATACCGGAAAACTTACAACTCGCCAGTGGCAGATTGCGTGCACTCGTAAAACGTCTTCCCACCGACGTACTTACAACCTACCACCACACAATTCAAGAGCAATTGGCAAGCGGAGTGATTGAAATGGTCGACACATCAAAGGAGCCTGAGGGCACTGTGCATTATATCCCGCATCACTGCGTGATAAAATCCACTAGCGAGTCGACCAAAATGAGAATCGTTTATGACGCGTCCGCAAAGGCTAACAAGCAAAGCCACAGTTTGAATGAATCACTGTATCGCGGTCCCGTCATGTTGCCCGACTTGTGTGGCATACTGTTGCGGTTCAGGATGTCACCGGTAGCCATCTCTAGCGACGTAGAGAAGGCTTTCTTACAGATCGGCCTAAACCAACCAGATTGAGAGTGAACGCATGGGTACAACGATTCATACGGAAACTCAAACACGAAAAGTCGGAAAGTGAAACGAATCTCACAGCTGAAGAAATCGCAATGTCGAGAGTAGCTATCATTCGGTATCACCAAGCTCAGCACTTTGGAAATGAAATTAAGGCAATAGAACAAGGCAAGCGACATCAGCTCGTCGATGCTTTGGGTCTCTTTCTTGATAATGGTTTAATCCGATGTAAGGGTAGACTGGAGTATTCTCACCTACCATTCGAAAGTAAATTTCCTCTATTGCTAGCTTATGGTTCACACTTAACGAGGTTAATTGTAATGGAACAGCATATCTCACTTAAACATTCGGGTGTTAGTCAGACATTGGCTGAATTGAGACGGAATTACTGGGTGCCTAAAGGTCGAGCAATGGTTAGACGGGTGATTAAGGAATGTCTTTTGTGTAAACGCCATCATGGAAAGCCATTTGCAACACCACAATTTGCACCTTTGCCTGAGGAACGGCTTGTCTCTGGGAGGGTGTTCGAATCTGTTGGTCTTGATTACTTTGGGCCAATGTATGTGAAAATGGAAACTGAAACAGCTAAAGTGTGGGTATGCATCCTCACTTGCCTAACTACCAGAGCTATTCATATGGAATTAGTTCGCAATATGTCTACTGAGCAATTCCTAATGTGTTTCAGACGGTTCATTTCACGAAGAGGTACACCGAAGTACATAGTAAGTGATAATGCCAAGCAATTCAAGCTGTCTAAGAATGTTATTGATCTTCTCTGGCTTGAGTCAATTCAACATAATGATGTAATGGAATTCATTGCGGGCAAAGGTATTAAATGGAAATACATCACTGAGTTAGCTCCTTGGATGGGTGGTGTTTACGAACGCATGATTGGTATTGTGAAACGATCTCTGAAGAAATCAATTGGAACTGGACAGCTTACATTCTGTCAACTTGAAACTTTGCTAATTGAAATTGAGGCAATTGTCAATTCTAGACCACTGGTATACGTTGGTGAGGACTTCACAATCGATCATGTTCTCACGCCTGCCAATTTCTTAACTGGGCATAGTTCTTTTGGTCAGCCTAACTTTGTCATTACAGATGACCCTGACTACATCACACATGTCAGTAATGCTCAACAACTCGTCAACCTGTGGAAACAGCAGCAGAAATGTCTCAACATTTTCTGGGAGAAGTGGTCGACAGAGTATTTGCAGTCACTACGACCACAACAACACAGTCAACGAAATTCCAATAGCTTCAAGCCAAGTGTCAACTGCATTGTTCTGATCAAGGATGTTGATCGGCCGCGCAGCTGCTGGAAAATAGGAAGAATCGCGCAGCTACACCAAAGCACAGACGGCGAAGTGCGATCAGTGACGCTACGTATGCCATCTGGGAGTTCCATGAACCGGCCGGTAAG